CAGCTAAAGCGAAAGTTGAAACGAGTTTATGATTGGCAGGAAGAGTGACCCCTGAAAGTGTAGTTTACAGCTTTGGAACAATGTTGCTAGATCTTTTGAGCGGAAAGCATATTCCTCCGAGCCATGTAAGTTGCAAAAGATTCTGATGTGCACTATATGAAATCCTTTATAAATGAAACTTTGTTTGTTAACTCTATAAACTTTGTTTATAGGCTCTTGATCTAATTCGTGGGAAGAATTTTTTGATGCTTATGGATTCTTGTTTGGAGGGTCATTTTTCTAATGATGATGGAACAGAGCTTGTTCGTCTAGCCACACGCTGTTTACAGTATGAAGCACGAGAGAGGCCTAATGCAAAATCTCTTGTCACTTCTCTTATGTCTCTTCAGAAAGAAACAGAGGTATGACCAACTGATAGGATTATGTGTCCCTTGACTTGCGTATAGATTATTTTAAAAACTGCTATGTATCTTCATTTATGAGATTGAAAATGGATTAATGCCTTACAGAAGAAATAGAAATATCTCTTTCCCTTTTCTTCTCAAAAAAAAAGAGAAGAAATAATCTCCTTCCTTTTTGCATTTTGTATTTGGCTGTCTAGGATCACACTTTAGCAAGGTTGATTCTCTTACTATAATGTGGACATATCTCCCATGTCTTTCGCCGTCTCGTTTTTTCTATTTAGTTAACAAGAAACCTTGGTGGAATTATTTGACTTATGGGATAGATGCATATTGTATTTTAATTGCAATATATTCCTCAGATGAACCACCTAGGTTTCTGCTTTATTTTGTTTTGAGTAGTGCTTGAAGCCCATGTTTATTATTGATATAATCCAGGTGCCATCACATGTTTTGCTGGGCATTCCACATGGAACTGCAACCCCACCTCAACCGCTATTGTTGACGCCAATGGGTGAAGCATGTTTGAGAAAAGATCTTACTGCCCTTCATGAAATATTGGAGAAGACTGGATACAAGGATGATGAAGGAATTGCCAATGAGGTTTTCCTTTTCTCTACAAAATTTCACTACTCATATAGCAGTATCGATTATCTTTGTTTCTCAATGTCAAATAAACTATGTCTTCTGGCTGAGGTATTAATCGCACAACCTACTATAATTAACCTGCTTCCCCTTTCTTTAGCACCTTAGGTGAAAGACAAGTTTCTATTTCCTTAAATAACTTTTTGACATGGTAATCTTGATAAGCAACCACTTTTAAAATGTGACTTTAGATATAGAACATTTGCCCTCTCCTTCCCCCTCCTGCCAAAAGAAGATTGAGTAGAATAATGCCTCATTGAGAGAGGTAAGTACGAGGTAAATGATCCAACTTTAGTATCATGCTTCTTCCTCTGATTATTACCATGCAAGAGCCCACTATGTTTTTCCTTTTAAATTTACTCATTCTATTTTTATTTCCATCAAATAGCAATGGGACCTACCTGGCTGTCATTATTAAGCCCATGTGTTATCCTTTCAGATATGATAGTAAAGTTTAGATCTTTTGTCTCTTGATTGTAAAACAAGGAGATTACAATAAGCCAACATAAGATACCCAATGTTCTATGATGATTTTTCATATATGTGTTTTCATCTCCATATCTCAATAGCCCCACCATAAAGATCATGTCTCATATTTATTAATACAACTTGATCCTGATTTTGTTATTTTGTGATTCCATTTCAGCTTTCATTCCAAATGTGGACAAATCAGATGCAGGAAACCTTGAACTCTAAGAAGCATGGTGATGCTGCTTTTCGAGCCAAGGATTTCATTACTGCCATTGACTGCTATACACAGGTTTGACCATCTAAAATATGTTCGTTGTCTTAATGGCTAAAATTGGCTGCTTCTATCATAGTCGTAAAAAGAATTATAGGCATGTTCTGTAAAAGTTCAAATGAAATATGTCACATAAGTATTCGTCTATTTAACAACAGAAGGAGGGCTTACACGCTGTTCTGTTTAATATAGTTCATTGATGGAGGGACCATGGTATCACCAACTGTATTTGCGAGGCGTTGCTTGTGTTATCTGATGAGCGACATGCCACAAGAGGCTCTAGGGGATGCAATGCAAGCTCAGGTGGTTTTCGCTGAGTGGCCAACTGCCTTTTACCTCCAAGCTGCTGGCCTCTTTATCCTTGGGATTGAGAATGATGCCCAAGAAGCTCTTAAAGAAGCCACAAAGTTGGAAGCAAAAAGGAGCAAAAACTGAAACTGTATAGATGTGCATTTCTTTGATATTTATTGTCTTAAGTTTCTTGTATTTATAAACAAAAGCAACACTAAAGGGCTTATGAACAAAATTGGTTGTTGAATGTTAATATTCAATTTTTGTTCTTTCCTTTTCGGAAGTAGTTTTTCACATTTGGTGAAAGATTATCTCCTATCCTCGGATGCACTTTCTATTCTTTATTGTTTATTTTGAAAGTAATGGAATTCAGCTTTCATCATTGTCATTTATCAATGTGACTAGGCCAAGAATTCATATTGAAGGCAGAGAGCCAGAAGAAAAGTTATCACTGAATGGCATTGTGATAGCAAAATGAAAATGGATACACCTCTTTTACTAAGTTAAGGAACTCTAATACAGATCATAATCTCAATGACACAATTAACCATTCAAGATATGTAATATAAAGATTCAAAAATACAGAACTCGGCAAGGTGATTTCAACACCTTATATAGAAGGAAAGCTAAGGAGTGAGGTAGAGAGTGAAGTGAATAATTGTTTCTACACCATCAGTTGTATGTTGATCCACATGAGGAAGAGTCTCAATGGTAGCATATCCTTTGGCATTCTCATATTTGCCAGTTCCTCCAATGATGGCAATGTGAGAAATTGGTGTGGCTGTCCTGTGAATTCCAAAGAAACTAATTGTGTCTTCCACTTCATGATCATGTTCTCCATGAAAAAGTGCTGTCAAGGCTAAAGTGTGACTTGTGCCATCCCAAGAGCTTGTCAAGTAAAATCCTTGTGCCTTGCCAAGAACAGCTGATCCCAGCTCATGCCCCTCGGTTATCTCATTGTCAACAACAGTAATGGAACCAAACATGAGCTGCTGAAGGGATAGGCCAGCAGGAAGCTGCCCGGCTGTTACAAAAGGTTGGTTGTTCCCACCATTTACTATGTTGTTATTACCAGTATTTTGGAGGACTGTGTTACCTTGCTGTTGACCGTTTAGGCCTACGAGGAATGGATAGTTATTGTTGTTGACAATGTTATTAATAGTGTTCACAGGAACTCCACCATTGATTGGGAAGATTTGATTATTGGGCTTGGAGAAAGGCAAATTGTTGGTATCTGAATTGGCACTCTTCCTGAAGGGCGTGAACCACCAAGAATGTCATGCATGAAGAAGGAGAACATGGGATGATCCGGAACAGGATTTGCCTCTGTGGCACCAGAAGTAGCAGCTGCTACATTGGTGACGGGGGTTGCCCCGTTGTTTGTTAAGTCATCAGGTGGAGCTACTGAGGCAGCAGGGGCGATAACGGGGGTTGAATCTGGTTCAGGGTCAGTTGATAAATCTGCTGGAGGATCAGCAACAGGCGCCACGTTGGAATCAGGAGTGGTGACAGTAGCTGGTAATTGGCCGGCCACTTGGCAATGTGGCAACGGGGCCACCACTGGAGCCACAACGTGCTCGTCGGATGATGAGCTCAATTCATCAAGGATTCTTGCTGATTGAGCAGAGCCAAATGTGAGGGCTAGAAGCAGAATGCACAAGGTGGCTTGCAGTGTTTTAGAGGTGAGTTGGGAAAGTTGAGTCATTTTTTACCGTATGAGGAGAAACAAATCAAGAACTGAGTTAGGAAAGAGTGGAGGCTTGAATGGTATATATAGTTTTGTTTTCCTGATAAGAAGTGAAGCTGATGAGGTGGTTTAGGTAAGGAGCTGCAGATACCATGCGATCACCTTTTTTTTTTGTGTGGGTAAAATACCAAATCCAGAATAAAGGACATTTTGGTTTGGTTGAACAAACATCTAAATAGTATCTTACTGATTATCTAGGCAGTACGTAAAATATCTAGATAGTAATTGAGGGGTCAAGAATTACAGCCATTGATTTGTAGGTGTTTGGTTGTCTTAACAACGACATACCCAGTATAATCCCGCAATTGATTTTTAGGTATTTAGTGTGCACGGAGCCTTACCCCTATCTTGTGGAGGCAGAGAGACTGTTTCTGATAGACCCTCGGCTCAAGCAATCATGCATAATCAATCTCAACAGAATAAAGAGAAACCCAATATGATTTAAATGAAATTTTTTTTATACACATGAGAGAATTAACTTAAGTTAAGGGGAGAAGAATTTTGTGCTACTACTATATACTAGGGACTTTCCCAACACTTGTTCACGTTTACCTTCCTTTTTTGTGGCTAAAGAACAAAATATAAATTGGAAGCAGCAGAATGTGATTTAAGTTTCCTTCTATAGCTGGCAAAATTAGACCATTTTGCATGATTAAGGGCAAATTTGGACATTTTCCTTTATATATGCCATATGTATTTCTCGTTCTATGACAAATTTCATATTACATTACATTACATAATATCTTCTCTAGTCCCATCAGTGTGAACAACCCATGCACAAAGGCACATCTTTATGTTCTCCACATGCACTATCCACTATATTTTATACGTGTAGATTTGATAATTTCCCATTGAAGGCACAAATCACAACTTTCAAGATTTCTCAAAGCCCCAAAATATTAGAATGTCGATGAATCAGTTTTTCTTGTGACACCTGAATCTTCAACATTCACTATCAAATGAGCTTATAAACTAAAGGAATAGCTAGATATATCCATACAGGATACTTATACACACCATATCAGAACATACCTGTATAAAATATCTTATTATAAACACATTATCACAACTCCCACACATTATCTATTTTGAAATTTCCCATATACCCACCACATGAGACGCGCTGCATACTTGTCGATTGAAGACAACAATACAGAATCAAAATCCAAAGAAATAGGGTGAACAAAAACCTAGCAACCTATTTACTAAACCATTGATATCTGCTTTATTGCAACACAAAAATCATTAATAGAGTCATTAGACATTGCTTCAGATCATCTTTCCTATTCAAGGAGTAAAAAAGTAACAGAATGCTAAATATATAGATAGTAAAACGTATTCGAGCTGTCACCACTCAATAAAACAAGCATTATCAATTTCTTCCTTCCTATTCTCGCTGACAGATTATGCAAACACCACGAGGTAGACAATGGAAAACTGTTACATAGGTCGAGTGTTCCCAAGAAGCTGCCCCACTAGGTTAGTCACCTGCAGAAAAAAATTAAAATGGTGTGCTTAGTAGTTATTGTTGGATCTTGAAGAGAAAAGAAATATAACCTCCACTAAATAACTTGAAGTTTCAGGAGCATAGATACCAACTACCACAAACTTTGGGCACTGTCTAAACGAGATGCAAAAGATATAAAGAATATCAAGATTATCGCCACCTCACATTCACTAAAATCTCGAGTGAAAAGGTTGGGCGGCATTAAAAATAGCAGTACATATATGGGAGTAGTGCTGGCAAATGGTCAGATTTGGATGTGGGCAAGTTGCAAAGGGGTTATCCAAAAATGGATAAAATATCCGACCCATGTGGAAGGTTATCAACTACAGAAAATGTCAAAGCAGTTAACAAATCATCAAAAGTCATGCTTATAACACAGGTAATAAGACCCATAAATCCCAAATAGTTAAAAGCTAAAATTGGAGCACAAAATTGAAATCAAATGAAGGGATAAATGTTAACTGAATGACGATAATATGCTTAAGGTAAATCTCAATGAATAACTTGGAAATTCCAACAAGACACTAACTGCCGAATTTTTGTATGAATTTAAGCTCAAAATTTCAATATATTTGTAACTTTAAGAATATAAAATATTTATTTATTTTGGTTAGGTCAAAAGCCAAAATGCATTTTTCCAAATGTTAAGTGTTTTTCATATCTGTCATATTATTGGAAAATTCCATACAAAAGTTTAGGCCCAGTATTTATTTAAGGATACAAGATCCATCTCACTTGTATCTTTTGTAAATCTCCAACAAGGATCACGATGAGAACCGAGAGCAATCTCAATTATTCTCTACGTGCTTTAGTACTTTGAAGTTGAGAAGCCATTATTCTGTTCCAACTGACTATATCAACGACATATTGTGTGATGAAAACATGAGTGGTAGCAATCGTGCTATATGTACTATGATGCGGATTAGGCTGAGAATGTCATTGATAGAGTCTCGACTATTGGTTATCTTCTGGTTGTTTTGCCATAATCCTATTAGTCATTTCTCAAGAACAAAACACGTAACTGGTTCCTCTTACAAAACTGAATATCGAGCTGTTGCAAGTGCACTTGGTGAAATGACCTGGGTAAAGAACCTTTTAGCAGAGCTGCAACTCAACTCAACAAAGTTGAGTTGGCTACCTGAACTTCCACCTTGTTGGTCGGAGTTTAATTCCCCACCTTGTAATCCCCTCCCCCTATACTTTGAAAAAAAAAAAAGTTCCAACTATCTACTGTGATAATGTTGGTGCCACATACTTGTGTGAAAATCTCGTCTTCCACAGTCGAACATAACACATTGAAGTGGATTTCTTTATGTTCGAAAGCAATCGCAGCATAAATATCAAGTTGTACACATTGCAGATCAACTAGCGGACAATCTCACAAAGGCTCTTCCTAAACCATATTTTGACAGCAACATGTGCAAGCTAAGTGTTGTTGCACACTACTTACCTTGAGGGGGGCGTATTAGCACACATGTTACTGTTTGACCTTTTCCTTAGAAGTTTGTTAGGATTGCTTCTTTTATTGTTAGGTTGTTAAGTTGTTCATTCATGGTTTAGCTTTGAGAATAAGACTCCTTTATTGGAGGAGTTAGTTTAGGAAGTTTGTCCGTTCTTGTGTTCAAAAGTCGTCATCTGTTCAATAAAGATCAATAAACTCATCCACCTTCACTTTGGTGTTTCTAATTTGTAACCAGTACCCGGTGAGCCCGCCTAGAGGGGGTAAGCAAAGGTGCATGAACAAGTGTATATACCCTGATGTTTCTCGCATGAACTGCAAAGCAGTGCATATTTTTCTCCGGTCTAACCCGTTTGTTCCCTTCAAAAATTATAAAATGTCAAAATTCATATTTAATCCACTTTTAGTAGTGGGAGTCATCTGTTCTATTCTAGTAATTTGGTCAAGATATACCTTTTTAGCACTGACCGAAAATGTGAAACGGAGAAAAGAACTTTAAAAAAGTAAAAAACTTATCATGATTAAACCAAGGAAATCTTCCTAAAGCCAAATCATTTGTCAATTGAAAAGATTACTCATCTCTTCAAAGTTTATAACTACTCAATCTGTCCAGGAAAGGTTGACCAATTTGCATTAGACAGACCAGTGTTTAGAAAAGCGGCTGCTTCAACGCTTAAAAGCGCGAAGCCGTGTGAAGAAAGCAGGTAGACGCTTCAGCCGTTCAAAGCGTAGCAGGTAAACAAAAGCAAACGCTTCTGTCCAAGAAGCGCAAACCGCAATCAAAGCGAGGCGAGTGCACTTTAGGGGGGAAAATCAGTTTAATGGGTCGAATTTAAAGGAAAACAGAGGGGTCAATTTCTCTTTTACTGAAACGGACTAAACATTTAGGTTTTTCCAGCCTCGTCATCAAGCTTCTTCAAGGAATAATTTCTTTTCTTCTTCCGTGATGTCTGAAGCGTGAGGATATGTTGCCTAATTTTTTTTTCTTCTGTGATGTCTGAACCGTGGGGATATACCGCCCAATTTTTTTTCTTCTTTGATTCTTCTTCTGTGATGTCTGAACCGTGAGCTATGCTGCCCAAATTTTTCAAATTATCAATTTGAATTAAAGTAGCTAATTTTTATTTTTTTTGCTCTTAACAGATTGTAAATGACATCAAGAGATGATAAAAAAGACCCAACTTGGGCTTATGCAGCATGCGTTGATTTTAATGTTGAATTTTGATTTTTAAAAAAAGACCCAAAAAATAGATATAATGTTGAATTTGACAATCTCGTAGTTCATTTGTAATCTACATGTGTTGCCTCTATACAATATTTATTTTGATATATTTTTTTAAAAAAACCGCTTCACGTCGAGAAGGCGAGTCGAAAAGGTGAGCGCTTTGCTTCTCGCTTTAAGCAAAAAGGGCATTGTCGCTTTTTCTCGCTTCTCACTCTCTGAAACATTGAGATGGACAAACATAATTTAGTAAATTTAATTTCACCACTTGAATGTAATATCTGTATGTATTTCTCAAAAGAATGTAATTTATGTATTAATTAAGCCTTAGATACTTGATGATGTGATTAAAATGGAGATCTGGTATCGAATCTACTTTGACTACTATATCAGACATCCAAAATTGGAGGTGTCTAAAGTGCTACAAAGTGCACAAGTGCACATGGTAGTTTCTACTATATTTAGAGAAACAACACTTTCTCTCCACATGGCTCCCGGCAATAAAGCTCCTTTTGAAGTTCTGCCAGGCTCATCTCTAATCCCCACAATCCAAATATACCAGGCGATAAAAGTTTTGTCCAAATCATAACCTGCTTTTGGTTTATATGGATACAAATGCTCTTCTGAAGCCTAATTAGGCTTTTAAACCTAGTTTATTGCTTCATATCTTCTTTCAACAACAAAATCATTAAAGAAGTTAATGTTCCTTTCAACCATTTAAGAGGATCAGTTTGGTGTTCATTTTAACTTTTAAGAATCTTTTCTAGTTGACATGCCTGAAACTCCAAGTGTGAGGATATCTTAGACTGAACAAAGTAACTTTAAAGAGTAATCAATTCTATTTTGTTATAGTTGTAGTGGGCATAGTACAATTTGTCATGCAAACACAATTATACCTTTCTAATCCACATATTTTCTGATTAATCTAGGCAGATGAAACTTTGTAAAAGTAAGTTTGACCCAGTGTTTTGGAGAGAGAGAGAAGCGAGAAAAAATTACAAGGCCCTTTTCGCTTAAAGTGTGAAGCGAGAAGCGAAGCCAGTGTTTTGAATAGCGTGAGACGACAAAAAGCGATGAGGGCCCGCTTCACTGAGACGAGAAGCGAGAAGCGTAGGCTCGCCTTTTTGATGTGAAGTGCCACTTAATACAAAAAATAAAATATTAAATTTGCATATATAAATAACTAAAAACTCAATAACAACAGCATATTAATAAATATATCAATTCAAAAACTCAATAGATAGAAATCACATGTTTTAATAAACTGTTTATAGAGAGAAATTAATTGTAATTAGAGAAAGAAAATAATGTTTAATTGTAATTGTAATTATAGAGAAGTTAATATGCAAGTAATTGTTTACTAAACTGGAAAAAAAAATCAAAAGAGAGAAACAGAAGAAGAAAGAAGAGTAGAAGCGAAAACAAAGGTGAAAGAAAAGAAAGAAAGAATATGTCTGCTGGAAATCAGTTGTTGCCGGAAAGAAGAAGAAGAACAAAGAAGACTTACTACCTGAAAAAGAAAGAAGAAAGAAGAGTAGAAGCGAAAACAAAGGTGAAAGAAAAGAAAGAAAGAATATGTCTGCTGGAAATCAGTTGTTGCCGGAAAGAAGAAGAAGAACAAAGAAGACTTACTACCTGAAAAAGAAAGAAGAAAGAAGAGAGGCTTAATGCCGGAAAAACAGAGGCTTACTGCCGGAAAAATAGAAGCTTACTGCCGGGAAAAGAAAGAGAAAAAGAAAGAAGAAAGAAAAGAGGCTGACTGCCGGAAAAACAGAGCTTACTGTCGAAAAAGAAAGAGAAAAGAAAGAAAGAAAGAAGAAAGAACCTGAAAGTCGAAGAAAACCCTAAATTTTATTTAAGTCTCTTGTTTTCTTTCTTTTTTTAAAAAAGAAACGCCTCTGTCGCTACCCCGCCTCGCCGGCGCTACTTCGCCTCATCGGCGCTTTTTAAAAACGCACTGCAACAGACCAAAAAAAGCGCCTGAGCCTCGTTTCGCGTCGCTACTCGCTATTAGCGATGTAGCAAGCGTTATTTACAACCCTGAGCGAGCACTCGCTTTCCGGAAGTGAAGCGGATATTTAAAAAAAAATACCAGATATTGCATAGAGGCAACACATGTAAGCAAATGTTCAATTTAAAAAATAAAGAATAGAATCAGTAGATAGCACAAAATGAAGTACAAGATTGTCAAATTCAACATCAAAATATGTTATTTGGGTCTTTTTTTTTTTAATCAAAATCAACATTGAAATACAGCACATGATGCATAAAGCCATAAACTCAAGTCAGGTTTTTTTAATCATCTTTTGATGCCATTAACAATCTGCTAAGAGCAACAAAATTCAAAAGATACTTTAATTCAAATTGATAATCTGAAAATTTTGGGACAGCATATCCCACAATTTAGACATTACAAAAGAAGAACAAGAACCAAAGAAAAAAAAATGGGCACTGTATCCCATGGTTCGGACATCACGAAAGAAAAAGAAGATTAGAAGAAGAAAATTGGGTAGCATAACTCCATGCTTAAGACATCACAGAAGAAGAAGAAGAAGAAAAGAAATCAAATCATACCTGGAAGAACCCTCAATAAGCTTGAAGAAGAAATAGAGAAGGGACTGAAAAAAAACCTAGCTGTGAAGTCTGTTTCAGTAAAAGAACTTGACCCCTTTGTTGTTTGCCTTAAATTCGACCCATTAAATTGATTTTCCCCTAAAGTGCATGCTCCCCTCGCTTCTCGCTTTGACTGCACTTCCATGTTTGCTTTTGTTTACCTGCTACGCTTCAAACAACCAGTGTTGTTAAAAGCGACTGCTTCCTCGCTTAAAGCGAGAAGCGATGCATAGCGGACCATCTGGCGCTTCTCTGATCTGAAGTGTATCAGGTATACTAAAGTGATCGCTTCCCATGAAAAAGCGAGGAAGCGAACAAAGCGATAGAAGCGAGCGCTTCTCTTTAACTGGCTACCAACGTTAATTAATTAGAAAGGCTCTCTTTTTTGTTAAGACCATCGAGCAGCAGCAACAAAGAACGGAGGCGACCTAGGGTTCAAATTTTCAACACTTTTCAGCGAGCGCTTGTCTTTTTTTTTAAGACCATCGAGTAGCAGCAACAGAGAACAACAGACGCGACCTAGGGTTCAAATTTTCTACACTTTTCAACTTCGAGATCATCAAGTTTGGTCACATGTTGTTCTTCTTCCTCCTCCTCCTCCTCCTCCTCCCCCCCCCCCCCCCCCCCCCTCAACATCAAGATCATCAAGTTTTGGCTTAGTTCGGTGGCGTTCTTAGGGCACGTGGTGTCCAATGAGGGAATTAAGGTAGATTCGAAGAAGATAAAGGCGGTTCAGAGTTGGCCCAGATCATCCACAGCTACGGAGATTCGAAGCTTTCTCGGCTTGGCCGGTTATTATCGTCGCTTCGTGGAGGATTTATCGTCTATTACATCGCCTTTGACCAAATTGACCCAGAAGGGTGCTACTTTCAGGTGGTCGGATGAGTGTGAAGAGAGCTTTCAGAAGCTCAAGACTGCCTTGACCACAGCTTCAGTTCTAGTTTTGCCTTCAGCTTCTGGCTCTTATACAGTGTATTGTGATGCTTCTCGGATCGGTATTGGGGTGTGTCCTGATGCAGGAGGGTAGAGTGATTGCTTATGTTTCATGTCAGTTGAAGCCTCATGAGAAGAACTACCCCGTCCACGATTTGGAGTTGGCTGCCATCATCCATGCATTGAAGATTTGGAGGCATTATCTCTACGGTGTGTCTTGTGAGGTATTTACGGATCATCAGTCTCCAACACTTGTTCAAACAAAAGGATCTAAATTTGAGGCAGCGGAGATGGTTGGAGCTGCTAAAGGACTATGATATTACTATTCTGTATCATCCCAGGATAGGCCAATGTGGTGGTCGATGCCTTAAGTAGAAAGGCGGTAAGTATGGGTAGCCTTGCATTCATTCATGTAGGTGAGAAACCACTTGCAGTTGATGTTCAGGCCTCGGAGTCCTCTTCTACCCTGTTCTTTTCTTATTTCTTTACATCTTTATAGACAGTGATGTATAGGAGTGTTCAGTACTGTATCTAGAGCTTGTGACTTATATTTTCACCGGATTTTGGGAAATGTACATGTTGAGTTGCAGATTTTATTTCATATAGTTGTTGATCTTTTTTTTTTTGATAATTATAGTTGTTGGTGTTTTTGAGATTTAAATTATCATTTAAGTTATTCCGCATGTTTATTAGGCTTACCTAGTCTTAGAGACTAGCTGCCGTCACGACATCCTACGGAGGAAAATTGGGGTTGTGACAAGTTTTCCTCCCCCTCCTCTTCTTTTTCTCATTCTTCTCTTCTTCTTCATTTTCTTTCACAGTTTCAGTGATAAATTGCAGCGAAATGCTGCCCATTTTTCGTTTCAGTTATAAATTGAAGAAGATGACGAGCAATATAATAATGATAATGGGATACAAGAATTTGCCAATCTTGTAGAAGAATAAGATGCTTATTTTGTGCTTTAATTGATGCTACTCTTTAGTTTTTACATTGAAGTATTGAACATTTGCTTGCAGTTACATGTGTTGTCTATGCAGTACTTATTTTAATATTTTTTTTTAAATTCCGCTTCACTTCAAAAAAGCGAGCGCTTCGCACCTCGCTTCTCGCTATAAGCGAAAAGGAGCTTGTCGTTTTTCCTCGCTCCACGCTCATTACAACACTGCGAACAACTGAAGAGCATGTCTGCTCGCTGAAGCAGTCACTTTTCGAAACACTGGTTTAATCTTGCACTTTCTTGTCAGAGACGTTATGTCGAGGTTGGATAATAGCCTATTTGGCCAACCTTTTAAGATACACTTATTTTGAAAAGTGCTTTTCACAAAAGCACTTTTCAAAAAGTACTTTTAGTGAGAAACATTTTGTGTTTGGCTAATCAATTTGAAAAGCACTTTTGAGCAGCAATTAGTGTTTGACCAAGCTTTTAAAAAGTGCTTCTAAGTGTATTTTCTCAAAAATGATTTTCAAAAAAGAGCTTTTGGGGAAAAGCTATTTTTTTCTGATTCTCAAAAACTACTTCTGTTTCTACTCAAAAACACTTTTTTTCCCTCTAAAAGCTTGACCAAACACCTCAACTTTGAAAAAAAAAGTACTTTTGACCTTGGAGAAGCTTGGCCAAACAGGCTATTAGTCTAAATGGTGAAAAAAAGTTTTTTTTTTGGGCAAAAGTGCTTTTTTAGCCAAAAGTGTTTTTTCCTCTAAAAGCTTGGGAAAAAACATTTTTGGCTAAAAAGAACTTTTGGCCAAAAAAAAACTTGGCCAAACAAGCTATAAGTTGGGCCTTACAGAAACTCTAGTTCAAAGAACTCCTAATTTGCCTTAAAAAGAAAATGTATTTAGTGTTAAATGAAATGGATATGCATAGAGCTCTAGTTGATTAAATCATATATCATGCACGCATGTTACATGAAAAACAAACATTACGCAGTACAAACTCAGACCATCGAAATTTCCACTCAAAAACATAAACAGTAACTTAAATAAACAAGTGCATATACGCATGTTATGTGAAACCATAGACACAAAAATCAATGTGTATTTATTACGTGGTATCAGGTCAACTTCAAGCTTTATCATTGTTTACCTGCCAGTACTTTGAAACACATTTGTCAATACAACTGTTTTCACCCATGTTCAACTCCGAGTCCTTGTACCTGAAAAGCCATTTACATGCAATGTCAGCCACGAAACGAAGTCCTGAGAAAATGATGCGCAAAACTTCATATTAGGCCAGAAGGATAAAGAAGAATGAGTAGAGTAACATACTTGTTCTCCACGCATTTGTTGAAACATGTATGTGTAAGCCTGAATTATAGTTTTAAAATGAAAATAGAGCAGGTAAGAAATTAAAGAAGTAGGCAGGATGAGAAGTAGGAAAAGAGCCCAACAAGTTAAAATCAAAACTAGACAACAGATAACAAAAATCAAAACTAGACAACAGATAACGCTACCTTCATGCAGAAGAAAAAAAAACTTCCAAACATCATATTAAGAGTTTTGTAGTATATCTTATACATTAGCATTTGTTGTGTTCCCACAGTACCTCTCGAGGGACTAGATCGGGGAATGTTTACACATTTAAAACCTAAAATAAACAAAGAAAAGTGTCCATTCCATGACAGTGCTTTCACATGAAGCGGTTTACCGAATTCGACATGGTATAGAGGTCCTGCGCTCGAACCTTGCACCACCCACCAACAAAATATTTTTGTGTGCTTGTCCCAAGAAAAAGAAATAGGTCACGTGAAAAGGGGTGTGTATAAAACTCAAAATAAATAAGCAGAAGTGTCCTCTCTCTAACTAGTTTAAGGTGGTTTACACAAATCACATCAGGTCTTCCCCTCCAATTTTATTTCTGGACTTTTTGATGTTCAATAGGACAGACACCACCGATCCCAGCTCACAATACAATCGTGTGGCAATCATCTAGTTCATTTAAATTACAAGTGTATAACTTCAGTTCATCAACACCACACATTGACTACACTTTTCTTTATGATCAAGTAAGTACCGGGGCCAGTTTGCACCATTTTGTGGGGTACTTAGTGCCTCCTACTAGCACAGGTACCGAGCAAAGGCACATCCAGTATTTGAAGTTTATGGGTTCATGTTGTAATCTCAAATTAATATACAATAATAATTGTGTTCACAGTTATATATTTATAGATATTTAATGGATTTATTTAGTAAAAATAAAGGATCTACACAAAAGTTAACGGTTCCCAGGAACCAAATAACTATACTCTAGATCCGTCATTGGTACCGAGTAACTCTGCCTACCAAGACGCAGTTGGCAAAAATCACTTAGTTTTTTTTAAATTTTGCTCCTTGTACAATTTGCTAGTATCAGCAAAATTATGCAAATGGTATACCTCAAAACATTCAAAAAAGCTAAAAGGTACATACTTGTTAAACATCTCCACTCTATATTCCATCTCTTTCTCTGCCATAGAAAATATCTGCGCTCACCCAAAAAATTAAAAAAATTAAAAGAGCCCAAGATTTAATAGATCAGAATAGACACCCTTTAAGGTGGATACAAAAATAGTACTAAGTGAAAGAAGAAAACAAAAACCTGTTCTTTTTCCATCTCGGAAGGAGCAGCCATTAGAACTGAAAGAGTAAAGAAAAGATTAGGTACATGTAGAAATTGAAACCCCACAAAAATATGAACTTTATAAGATATTTACATACCCTTTTGTACGTTTAAAGAAAGAAAATCTTGAAGTAAGCTGTTTACTGCGGGGAAAACGTAAAACCTATGAAGCAGAGGCGAAAGAATGAGAGGCGCAAGAACAGACTGAGGGTTTTGAGGTGTAACTAATGCTAATCTGATGGCGTTAACTTGTCTCCCAATACTACGAATGTTGCTACCTCGAGGAAATGACAAACCAGTCCCTTAAATTTGGGATTAGATTTACAGTAGTCCTTTAAATATACTTGTAACCGGTTTTAGTCCGTTAAGTTTGATAAAATTGAGCACCTTTGATCTTCATCAAATATATAACAAACACTGCCTGCTAGATTTAATAGGAACTAAGAAAAAAGGATTTAACTAGAAATACTAGGACAAATTGCAAAATAACAAACTGCACAAAACAATAGAATATACCAAAAATAATAAAAATTACACTTCAAGAAACTGCACTAGAGAAATATATCAAAATAGCAAAAAATATAAAAATTAGACCTCCAATTTTCTCTTCTATGTTAAATCTTTTTTACACCATTTTTGTTAAATCTAATAGCCATAATTTGTTAAATATTTGAGCAAAATCAAATATGCTCACTTTTGGCAAACTTAAGAGACCAAAATTGCTTAGAGTATATTTAAGGAACTATGTTAAATCTACTCCTAAACTTAATGGACCAATTTTGTCATATTTTTAAAGTTTTTTGTCCCAAAAGAATAATAATATCTAAAAGTTAAGTTTTTTAATGTAAAATTTTACTTGTATTGTTTTCTTAAAAAATGTAATTTCAAAAATAAAAATTGATCTGAGAATTAGATGTATTAACCACATCATCTTTTCAGGACGGAAGAAGTATCATTTTTACTAATTTTCATTGAAGTTTACACTGTTTCATAGTTTATACTTTATACGGTTCATGTTTTGAGCACGTCTCCGAACGAAGTTCGACAATGAAGCACAATATTATCTTGTTTGGCCTAGCTTCTCCAAATCCAAAAATACTTTTTTTTCAAAAAATTGTACTTTTTTTCAAAGTTAAAGTGTTTTACCAAGCTTTTAGAAGAAAAAATAATATTTTTTGAGGAGAAACAAAAGAAGATTTGGAGAAGCATAAAAAGTAGCTTCTTTTCAAAAATACACTTAGAAGCAGTTTTAAAAAAATTGACCAAACACTAATTGCTGCTCAGAAGTATTTTTCAAATTAATTAGACAAACACAAACCGATTCTCACCAAAAGTACTTTTGAGAAAAAACACTTCTCAAAACAAGCTGATTTTTGCAGCTTGGCCAAACAAGCTATATATACTTGTAGAGTAGGTGCTGAAAATGCACATTCGGAAAGAAAAAGAAAAAAAAGGACAATAATTACACAAACTCTTTAAACTAACTAAATTAGCGTTTGGACATAGATTTGGTTGAAACTTGAAAAAGGAGTTTTTGAAGTTGTATTGAAAAATAATTTTTCAAAGTTGAATTTGTGTTTGGATATGCATTTTATTTGAAAAATTACTGAAAGTTTTATGAGTGGAAGAAAAAATTCCACCCAAAATTGACTTAAACCAGTTTTTGGGAACTTGAAAAAAAAATAATTTTTTTCAAAAACTAATCATATTTTATGAACAAATAATATTTTTAATTTTTTTAAAAAAAATATACCCAAAATCTATAGTCAAGCGAGCGCTAAATATCAAATATAAATTTTTTATTGATTGTCATTTGTGAGTGTTCAAACTTCACTTGTTCTTTTCGTCTTTGTTAAATAGTAAATGTTGGGAAGCATGTCAGGCTAATAGGAAGGAAAAAATATATTTAAAAGAGAAAAGCAATAAATTGCACAAGACAAAATAAGATTTACGCGGTTCTGTAATTTTGCCTACTCCACGGCTACACAAAGAAAACTCTCTATTAATTGGAGAGAAAGAAGAAGTTGAGGGATGGATTACAACTGAGATGCCTATTTATAGGCAGAGAAAGCAGCTGGAATCTTCAGCAAAATGTGAACATGCGGCAAGACGACACCGCGATTGTAAACCAATTTAGTTCATTCACATTTTGTAGTCTTTTAATTCCGACTTCCTTTCTTTCTTTGTCTTTTTCACGTATCATTTTCTTCTCTTTTCATTTACTTTTTCCTTTGACTTCCCACTTTTGTTTTGTCTTCTCTCTTTTCTTTCTTTTACAAATAATATGGTTTGCTACCATCAATCTCCCCTTCAAACTCATATTACATCAATAAAGGAAGAAAAAAATGATTTGCTAATCTCATGTGTGGCGCCTTCACATTATCAATCTTGAAGGCTAACTGAGGCAGTACACAACCTCAGTTTGTCAACACCGACAACTTTGGTCAACATGTCTGATGGATTCTTCAATCCTGGTATCTTCTGTAGGGAAAGAGTTCCTTCACTTATCAACTCTCGGATATGATGATACCTCAACTGGAAATGCTTCGATCTTGCATGAAACATTGGATTCTTAGCAAGATGAATTGCACTCTGGCTATCGCTGAAAAGCTCACAATTATCATGTTCTTTACCTAACTCTTTAAGAAAATTCTCGAGCCAAATCATCTCCTTTCCAGCTTCTGATATTGCCATGTACTCTGCTTTTGTGGTAGATAGAGCAACACTTTTATGAAGTCTGGATATCCAGCTAAGAGCAGTACCACCCAAGGTGAACACATAGCATGTGGTACTTTTTCGACTATCCAGATCGTCGCCAAAATTTGCATCAGCAAAACCTTCTAAGATAATATTACTCTTTTTAAAATAAAGTTTCATACCTGATGTGCCTTTGAGATATCGCAATATCCATTTTATACCTTTTCAATGTTCCTTTCCTGGATTTGACATGTATCTACTGACAACTCCAACTGCATGGGTTATGTCAGGTCTAGTACAAACCATAACATACATCAAACTCCATACTGCTGAGGCATATGGAACTTTGGACATGTACTTCCTTTCTTCGTCTGTCTTTGGTGATTAGTCCTTTGGCAGATTAAGATGGTTTCCGACTGGAGTGCTTCTGATCTTTGCATCATGAAGACTGAACCTGCTTAGTACCTTTTGTATGTACTTTTCTTGAGACAACTTTAAGGTTCCTTCAGACCTGTTTCTGCTAATCCTCATCCCAAGAATTTGCTTAACTGGTCCTAAGTCTTTCATTCCAAACTCCTCTGCTAGTTGTTGCTTAACCCTGCTGATCTTTTTTATGCTAGATCTTGTAATTAGCATATCATTAATGTGCAACAGTAAAATATTATAGGATTCATCGAGATTTTTGATGTAACAACAATGGTCCATCTCACATCGTGTGAAAATATTATTATGCATGAATCCACCAAATTTCTTGTACCATTACCGGGGAGATTGTTTCAAACCATACAAACTCTTCTTCAACTTACACATAAGGTTTTCTTTATCAGAAACTTGGTGACCTTCAGGTTGCTTCATATAAATGTCTTCTTCAAGGTCACTATGCAATAAAGCAATTTTAACATCTAGTTGCTCCAAATGCAATTTTTTTGTAGCTATGATACTTAGCACCAACCTGCTAGTAGTTAATTTGACTATAGGAAAGAAGATCTCGATGTAGTCCTTCCTTCTGCTGAAATCCTTTTACTACTAATCGTGCTTTGTATCTCTTCTTTCCGCCACGCTCTTCCTTGACCATGCACACCCACTTGTTTTGCAATACCTTCTTTCCTTTTGGTAACTTTGTAAGTATCCATGTTTTATTCTTTTGAAGAGAACTCATCTCTTCTTTCATGGCTAACTTCCACTTATTAGAGTTTATCACCTACATTGCTTCAACAAAATGCTATGGTTCTCCAATATCAGTCAGAAGTAAATAGTGGAGATATAGAGTTAACCTATCTAGAGCATTCGAGACTCTTTTATATCTCCTTAATGTATGTTCAAGAGTAACTGATCCCGAATTTGATTCAAGTCTTGACTTCATATTTAATTTTGCATCTAACTCTATCTCTTGTTCCTATTCTGGTTCTAGTTCTGGTTCTGATATAGATTCAGCTTCTGGTTCTGCATCTTTAATTTCAGAATCAATTGTAATCCCTATAAACACTCCATTTTCTGAGATTTCTTTTAAATTTCTTTTAACTCAACTGTTTTGAATATTTGTATGCTAGTGTTGGTTGGTTATAGTCCAAGCTTGTCCTTGTATGTCACATTTTTATTGAATGTGACATTCATATGTCTTAAGATCTTTCTATTATGATCATCCCAAAATAGATAATCAAATTTATCATTATCATAGCCAATAAAGAAATATTTCTTGGCTTTAGGATCAAGCTTATCTCTATCATTAGAGTTTACATGCACATAAGCAACACAACCAAAGATTTTCAGATGCGAGAGAGTTACCTCATTTCTTGTCCATATCTCATTGGGAATTTCAAAATTCAGCGGTACATAAGGTCCCATGTTTATGAGGTAAGATGTCGTGTGAACAATCTCGACCCAAAAATATTTCGGCAACCCATAATGTATTCTCATACTTCTGGCTCGTTCATTCAGGGTTCTGTTCATCCTCTCAACAACTCTATTTTGTTTCGGTGTTCCAAGAACTGTCTTGATCATTCTGATCCCATTATCCAAACAGAATGCTTTGAACTCTTTACTATCATACCCTCCTCCATTGTCAGACTTCAAACATTTTAACTCTAGGCTTGTCTGATTTTTAACTTCAACTTTCCATCTTTTAAAGATAATAAACACATCAGATTTAATTTTTAAAAAATAAACCCATACCTTTCTCGTGGAATCATCAATGATAGTGACATAATAGCACGAGCCTCCCAGAGAAGTTACAGGAGCTGGTCCTCACACATCCGTACACACTAGTTCCAACTTTTTTTTCTTTAGCGTCCTTCCCGCCTTTGAGAAACTAACTCTCTTTTATTTTCCGTAAATGCAATCTTCGCATAAACCTAATTCAACATGCTTGATGTTTGGCAACTTTTCCTTGGATGCTAACAACTTCATTCCCTTCTCACTCATGTTCCCGAGCCTCCGGTGCCACAATATTGTGTCATGACCATGGTTAACTATTGCTATAGTATCTCTCATTGTGGTTGCATACAGTGTTCCTTTCTTGAAGCCTCGTGCCATAACTAAATTTTCTTTGGTTATGTTTCACGATCCGTTACCGAATACTATTGTGTATCCTTCGTTGTCAATCTGATCCATGGATATCAGATTTTTCTTGAGGCCTGGAACATTCCTGACATTTTGTAATTTTCACAGCGTGTCTTGTGAAGTCTTTATATGGACTTTACTTTTTTGAATTTTCTAGCAATATAATTATGCAATAATTCTTTGCATGAGGTAGAGTAGAAGGATGCACCTGAATCCAGAATCCAAGATTCGACACGACTTTCTGTACAAATAATTAGTGTATCACCGACTTGTTAAGCAATTGCATTTGCTAAATTATCATCCTTGTATTGATCGTTCTTCTTCTTCGTTGGCTCTCTACACTGACTACTGTTGTGACCCTTCTTATCGCAATTCCAATAAGTAATGTCTTTGCAATTCTGGATTACCATCTTCTCCTTGACTTTGATATGCCACAACCATGACTTTGTCCTCTTTGGCTGTTTCTCCCGTTGCTTTCAGTATTAAAAGCAAATCCTGGGGAATCATTTTATTCTCCCCGGCGAATATCTTCTCTTAGAACCAAGTCTCTAATATCATCCAATTTAAGTTTGGTACTACCCGATGAACTGCTAACTGCAATTACTATTGCAGACCAACTTTCCGGTATAGATGATAGTAGAATCAACGCCCTGACTTCGTCATCAAATGTTAATAGAACTCAACTGAGTTAATATTATATTAAACTCATTGATATGCTCCGTAACAGATCCACCTTCTGTCATCTTTAGGTTGAACAATTGACGCATCAAATAGACTTTATTTGAAGCAGATAACTTCTCGTTCATATTTGATAACGCCTTCATCAAGGCTGCAATGGTTTTCTCGTTAATAATGTTAGACGCTACATTTCGTGTTAGTGTCAAACGAATCACATCAAGAGCTTGGCAATCTAATAGATCCCAACCCGCTTTGGCCATATTCTCTGATTTTACCCAGTCAGAGGTAAATGTAATTTTTTCTGATATAAATAATCCTCTATTTGCATTTTTTAGAATCTAAAATCTTTGCCAATTGAACTCGTCAATCTTAACCTTCCCTTCTTCCGATACCATTTTTCACCCAAAAAAATGTGAACAGTGCCTATGAATAGTAACCGCAAATACTAGTCTGTGTAAGAAAATATGTCCCAACCGTATAAGGTAGACAACAATCACTATTGGTGAACAATACTATCACTATTAATGAATAATACCTCACTATTGTGAATAGTATTAATATTGATGATCAATAGCATCACACTAATATTGTGAATAGTACTTGCATAAATACCGTACTTTTCTATCAAAATTATACTATTGTGCTCTGATACCAATTGTTGGGAAGCGTGTCTGGCTAATAGAAAGAAAAAAATATATTTAAAAAAGAAAATAATAAATTACACCAGAAAAGAATTACGTGGTTCGATAATTTTTACCTACTCCACGGTTACACAAAGTATAACTCTTTATTAATTGAAGAGAAAGAAGAAGCTGAGGAATGGATTACAACTAAGAAGGGGATGCCTATTTATAGGAAGAGGAAGTAGCTGAAATCTTCAGCAAAATGTGAACATGCGACAGGAAAACACCGCGATTGTAAACCAATTTAAATCATTCACATTTTGTAGTCTTTTCATTATGACTTCCTTTCTTTCTTTGTCTTTTTCACGTATCTTTTTCTTCTCTTTTCATTTATTTCTTCCTTTGATTTTTCCACTTTTGTTTTGTCTTCTCTTTTATTTCTTTTACAAACAACATGGTTTGCTCCCATCATAAAAGTCCTTAAAGATTAAGAAAATATTTTGAATTGTAATAAGAAGGGACCAAAGTTACATTGCAGCTCAGAGAACACTGTTTTACATTTACTCTTTGGATAGATAAATTTGGAAAAGAAAAAGAAGAGACTGTCATTTGATAAGTTTAGACCCCGATTTACTAAGCTTATAATATTTTATTTTTAAAATCTTGAATAATTGAGATGAAATCACTTCATAATTAAAATCTGTCTCCAAAAGTAGAGCCACCAAAATGGGCTTGGTCCGTGAGACCAGCCCAACCCAGCCCGCTACTTGGGTAGGGTTGGGCTAGGAATTTTTGAGCCCATTTACAACTGAGGCTTATAAGCCCCGCCCAAGTCAGCCCGCTGGCCCTTGAGGCTTGATCGAGGCTGGGCCTAGGCCGGCCCGTGGGCCAAAAATTAATTAAAATTTAAATTAATTTCTATTAAATATTTAATATTTAAAAAATAAAAACTAGTAACTATAATCCCCATTCCCCAACCCTAGATTGCTCATTTACCCTTCCATATCAACTAGAATTTAGATTTTTGACATGCATGTAATATGACAAAATTAGTTTTTCTTTTGCTAAAATAATAACGAACTCGAAAAGTCTTAGGTGGCCAATATAATCTTTTTTCAAAAGAAAATATTACTTTAAGTGGCCAATGATCAGTTTGGATTAATTTAATATATTATTGATATTTAAACTGCTATTCAGTATAGAAAAAGATAAGTTTTAAATACACAAAAAAAAATTGACCACTAGCAAATTTCAGAAATTTTAATAATTTTATGGACTATAATGATGAAATAAGCAAATGATGTTAATCCTAAATTAAAAATCCTCAGCATATAAACTTATTGAAACAATCCCCGAGTCTGAGAAAAATGAAAGAAAAGTATTAAGAAAATATTTATGTAACTTTAAAAAAGAAGAGCAAGAGATATAGAGAATTTGCATTTCAATTAAAAGATTCCTCATCAAATATCAAGCTTTTTGTACGCTCTTAGCAAACAGAAGTTGTTTACATGATTAATCGATTATGTCACGAAAATATATTTAAGAATTTAAAGAAATTCTTTTTTTCGAAAAAAAATTGAAAGGCCGGCCCGCCCTAGCCTGCGACCCTCTTAGGGTTGGGTTGGACTGACCATTTTAAGGCCCATTCATATGGCGGGCCGACCCGTCCTAGCACACCAAATTTAAAAGCCCACGAGGCTTGGGCTGAGCTGGGTTGTGCTCGCCCGTTTTGACATATCTATCCAAAAGGATGAAATGACATTTGCTTTTAGAAAAAGGTATATTAAAGAATATGGGGAACTAGCACAAAGTCTCAGGATCCGTTTGTCCATAAAAAATTCCTTTTTTCGATATTTTTGTTTTAAAAATGTATTTGTCCAAAACAAATTACAATTTTTTGAAAAAAAATCGAAAATAAGTTTGTCAAAATTTTTATTTTTTTTCCTCTCACAAAGCTGCAATAATTTTTCAAATGAAATGTATATCCAAACATAATTACAAATTTCAAATACCATTTTTTAACTTAACTCCAAATATTACTTTTTTTAAAAAATTATAATTTTTATGTCCAAATGCCTGCTTAGAATATTGTGTACGAGAAATGAGGATTTACGATTGGATTGCAGGTTGAACTACATTAATTGCTTATAATAAAGTTTTAAATAAGTACTTTTAAAGTCGGTTTGGTTTGATTTTTTCAGTTATTTTTTTACTTAAAACCAAAACCAAATCAAATTTGATCGGTTTTTAAATTTTAACATTAAAATTAAATCAAACCAAAATATTATCATTTTTTTTTGTGTCGATTTGATTCGGTTTTCGGGACACCCCTAGTTGCAATATATAAAACAAAAAATATCCTCAGAAATTCTTGAATTTTATGCTAGGTAGACCATGCATTCTCTACAAATTAAGTACAAGTGGATCTATCTATTCAGTGCACTTATAACTGTAAATGGAGCTCCAAGTTGGAAATCAATCTAAATCTTGAACTAGTTTTGCCAACTTCAGATTCATTTACAAATCCTCTTCCTTGTTTGTCATTAACACCCCACTTCTCGAAAACCAAACAAGAACTGGGTATAAAGAAAATGCAGGAATCAACTACCTAATTTTGGATTAAAAGGGGTTCAGTTTATACTTGGAACATAACAAACTATAACAACTGCTGGCATTTTCATGAGATCAAAGGGCAATATAGTAAATAAATCGACGATGACACACTCACAAATTGGTTTCTAAATCTAGGTGTAGACAAATGAAATATTGCCCTGTAGGTAGATATATTGCCAAAGCTAGTCCGTAAAAACGTGTTAACATTTCTTTTTTACCACTTGGAATATACAGTAGCCTTCACTTGCCTTTACTGCCTTGGAATTTCATGGTCACATGAACTCTTTAGTCTTTACTATACTATCTATGATGGGATGTTAAAATGGAAGAGCCAAGAGATGACAAACGCGAACACCATACAAGCTAAGAGGAAATTCAAGAACCGATGGCCATTCAAACAAGTTCGAGTTTCTGAAGTGGCTGATGATACTGGTGCAGACGCTGCATTTGTAGCCAACGCATTGGATTCATTTGTTTGCTGTGCTGACTCAACATCATTTGGACCAACAACATTGCGCGCAATAGAACAACATATTTCACAAGTCCTGGGAAAACAATTTCAAATGTTTAAAAAGGGCCAGAACATAACAAGTAGTATAACAAATTCAATAAAAGGGGATATACTTCTCAAAAGGAACCAGTAGAAGAATCGTAAAAATTGTTTGAATTACCAAATGACGGAACAAATGAAACCGAGCTGGAATATCTCAAAGAACAAAAGTGATAAGGATTCCAATGTCACACAGAAGAATAAAGATTCAAGCACATAAATAAGGGCTAAGCCCGAATTGAATAAATGCCGGGCTATTTTGTCAGAAGACACCAATCTGTTAGAACATAAAAGAACTAAATTTGAAAACCTAGGACTACAACAAGATAATGGTGTCCTGTCCAAGTTTGTAGGACTTCCACGTTTTTAACTGGACATCTGTTCGTATAACTGGAGATACATTTGCATATTAACCTAGCTATTTTGGCAGGAGCAGAAGTTTAAGTGCTTAAGCAGTCATTTCTCATGATGGTGGAATTACCTATCAAGATCCTTGTCTAACTAGGTCTCCTTTGACTACTGAAAGTTGAGAATTTGTACCTTCTGCCAAGAGACATAATCTACAATTATGTGGTTTACATGAACCGGTCAAAAATTTGTTCAGAAAGATTACTGGGATGCATTTATCAGACAATTCATTTTGTCACTGAAAGAAAAAAACTATAACAAACAGGCCGAGAGTCAAATATTGATAGTAATATGCAACTATACTGAGGACAGGTGACAAGAAAAACAAAGGTAGTAAGAATATAACAAATTAACCCTTGTGAGAATGAATCAACGACTATCAGGTCATAAGAGAAGGTAATGGTGCTGTCATGTGGAACTGGANGGGGAGGGATGAACTTGAGGGGCATTTCTGACTTATACAAGTTGTGATACAAAGTACAAGGTAAGGAAACATAAAGCAGCTCCTCTAGAGCCAGTACAGAGAATATTAAATATCAGTATACTATATAAGTGGATATTCATTCATATGGGACGAATATTTATGTATGTTAGTATGTATATACATATATAAATGCACCTATGGCCTCTTCAAGATATCGTATTGCCGTTAGATCTCACTGCACAGATCTATCAGTAACTAATCAACCTTATGAGATGAGAAAAATTACAACAGCAAAAATAAGGTGCAAATAAACCATGGAATGAAGTCACTAAACTGTAATGGCACAATTGAATGTATGACAGATTTTACACTTTTGGTTTTGGTGATTGGCATTACCACAGCAGTCTGTAGGAATAATGAACATTGGATTCCTGGCTTCATAGTTGAATAATGATCAAACATAAACAGAAAATTATTCAAGAGATACTGATATTCTCTGTATACTGATATTCAATCTCGTTGCCAATATGATATATCCAAGATGTCCAAAAAAATGTAGCAGTTCGTTGTCCAAATTCAGATAGCACATTTACAAGATTATCTGCTTTTTAATTCCATTTGATCCTTTCAATTACTTAGTTGTTATCAGGGCGAAAGGACGAATTTAAGTAGGAAAGAGGCCCAGACTGCATTTGGATCAAGCAAGCCTGAGATATGCATCTGATGCATCTTTTGTAATTCATTGGTCTGTGGTATTACTTTGAGTGCCTTGTTTTTATTAAATCTCAATCTCTAAAAATACAGTTCTCTTGACCTTCACCACATGTTATTATAGTACTCTTTTCCACTAATTTTTCATAGAATCTCCAGTTTCTAGATCTGTCTCTTTAAACCTTGAAATTTTGGCAGCTATAATTTTCAAATCATTTCCTTTCCAATGAGATCACACATTTGTACAGTGAGTACAAATAACGCGCATCACTAGTATGCACACATTAGAATCTTGACTGTGCACACATTACAAGTCATTGTCAGAGAATAGATAATCTAATTAAAGATCTGCTATCTAAGTAATAGAACATGCAGAGTGGAGGACAACAAAATATTATCTTTTGAGGGGGAAAATTAGAAGTAATTACTTTATCCACTAAGGTCAAATATCCACTTTGTTAAAGAAAAGTGAATGTTAAATATCAGGAAGAGCTTAGAAACTAAAGATTATTTAAAAGGCATGGTAGTAGGAAGAATTGTCGGTGTAATTAGAAATCCTAATCCTAATTCTTTTTAAAAAGTAATTAAAGAGCCTAATTATACTTGTCAAGTTACCATTGCTTTAGTCTCTCACTTTTCAATTTAATTATTCCCTTCAGATTCTTTATTTAACTTTTTCTTATTTCCCATAAAATACATCATGCTATCTCTTTCCCAAGAGAACAAATATCACAAAAACCAAACTTTTACGTTACCCTACCAAAAAAAAGGTTATTCTGACAGATCATGTACTGTAAAAAATCAAACAATTCCAACAGAAGTATCACCAAATCATTTCCACTGCAACCACTAAGGGCAAAGGAATCTAACATATAAGCCAAGCCATAGAAGATAATATGCAGAGTAATTACACTTGAAAACCAGCAAATTAAACAATAATTTGTTTCCAGATGGTAACATTACTACTTAAGCATTCAGATTAATCACATAGGCAATCTACTACAACAACATATACGAGTCAACAACAACAACATACAGTGTATTCTTACAAGTGGAGTCTGAGGAGAATCCAAAATCACAAAGAACTAGGTAAAACGAAATAGTAACAACCGACAGAAAAAATAAATAAATAAAAAGGAAGCAAAGGAAACATCAAAATTCAAAGACCATGACATCAATTAAAGGGAAAAATACTTACTTATTTCCTTTGATTTTGAACCAAGTCTCAGCACAATGCTTATGTGCAGCAGCCAAATCATCTTTACAAGAACATCCTAATTCAATAGCAATACCGGACTCAGGACCAGAACTCACCAAACTCAGATGACAAATCCTACAATCTCTTTCAATTTTCCCCACATGCAGCTTCGTTTTACCAACTCCATTTTCTAAATCCACTGAACAATCATCAGACTCAGCTACAGATGAGACTCTCCTTGACTCAGGACCTATCTCAGACTCAGTGCCACAAGCAAAGCTATAATCATCATTATTTGAACCGTCAGCTGTTGAATAAAACTGAGAATAACAAGAACCCTCATCAGCATCTGAGAAACAGACACTACCCTCTTCACTACTACCACTGCCGGAGCACCGGCGACTGTGTCCACCGGCGCCGGCACCGGCCTCTAAATCCACATTACACATATCTACTCTTGCCATTTTAACAACCCCACAATCAAGAAAGTGGAGTAGTTTTTTTCAGTAAAAAAAATATCACGAACACCTTCAAAATTGAAACTTTTGATGATTTCAACTACCAAGATTCATTTTTTAACAACCCATTAACAAGAAATGCTTTTCCAAAAGCAAAAAGATAGCATTAAAACCATCAAAAATAAAACTTTGGAGGATTTCAACTTCCAAGATTCAATTTCTCCACATTTTAACAACTCATAAACAAGAAAATACTTTTCTCAGAAAAGAAGAAGAAGATCGCATTACAACCTTCAAAACTGAAACTTTGGAGGATTTAACTACCAAGATTCAATTTTTGAGCCATTTTACCAACCCATAAACAAGAAAATGCTTTTCTCAGCAAAAAGATAGCATTAAAACCTTAAAAATTAAAACTTCGGAGGATTTCAACTTCCAAAATTCAAAAAAACTAAAAATAAAAATTTAACACACACTTGTGGTGCATGGGTTAAGTGGCTGAATTCTGGCTCTATTAATATGAAAGTTTTAAGGAAGTGGGGTGATGGATTAGGTGACCCATTTAACACCCCATTTCTAAAATTTAGCACCAAAGCAAAAGAAAGGAGAGAGAGAGAGAGTTACTAAATTTTGTTTTTCAAGTGTATGGAAAGTGATGAGAAGAGAGATAGCAGGGTTTAAGGAGGAAAAGAACAAGAACGTAAAAGCGAGAGAGGGGCTCATGGTTCTGTTAGAGTAGCTGTGTGACAGACTTTAGAAGGCAGGGCCCACCATTTTTTTAAAAGTATAAGTTATATATTCTGTTTTGTGCCCAAAAAGACAAAATTAAAGTAAAAAAATATCTAATATGTAATTTTTCCTTAAAATATAGGATTTATAATTTTAAAACTAAGGTAAATTATGTACTATAACATATAAGAATAACTTGATGATGGAATTGTTTTAACACTAACAAGGTATAAAATTTAAAAATATTTTTTATAACCATTTTGTATCTGGTATCTATCGACTAATCAATTCAAATTCGTTTTACATAAATTGCCCATTAAAAATAAAGTGTTTCCTACTAGAAATTTCTTTATTTACAAAATCAGAAATCACTAATTATTGGTGAAAGAATATCATATTCTACCTTTGATGTGTGGCCCACATTTAAGATATGATATGATTGTACTGTAGTTGGTGAAGTAAGAAGTATCTTCAGTTTCAAGATCAACTGATCTGAACCGTTCATTTGAGGCTTGGAGAAAGGTCTCTGCTTTTATTTTTTAACTTTTTTTGTGTGGAGAAAATGTGAAAAGTAGAAATAAAAATATATCATGGATTCTTTGTTTTTTTTTCTTTTCAATCTCTTTTTCTAGTTTTTCCTTCCTATATTTTGTGTGCGTGGTGAAAATGATTGTGGTTGGTGTAAGCAAATTATAAGCATTCGAGTATTGGCTCCTTTCCCCCCTATCTTTTTTTACTTTGTTTTCCATATCTCTTTGGAGTTGGTGAATGGAGCAAATGGCAATGATAATTTGACAAAATGATGGGCACTTTTTATGTGTTATTTGTTGAAATTGATATGAAACTAAGGAAAAAAATTATCTATCCCATTTTATTCCCCTCTCTCTATATATTTGTATAGTAACTTTTACCTAAAAAGATGGTTAAAGAGAAGTTTGTTAAGCGTCTGTAATTTTCCTGTTATAGTCATTGAATATATCTTAGTTAGAATACTACTAGGAAATCCTTTTCGGTATTGTATTGTCTTATTTGCAACCTTTAATATTCACAAAAACAAATTATAGACTAATATATAACGTCCTTGTTCTTCATTCTGACAATAGGGTCATTGTGTGGATCTTTTATCTCTTGTAAAATTATTATGTTTCTNATATATATATATTGTCATAATGATATGAGAAAAATTACAACTTAGAGTACTTTTCGTATAGTTTTTGAATATCTAAATTTTAATTTTAAAATACTGAATTGATCTAATTAAATTTAGCTTCAAATTTTAGTCAAATTGACTTTAGATAAGCGAAATGTATGGTATAAATTAAAACCTAAAGAGTATTACGTTTGGTAAGTATTGGCTATATTCTTCTTCTATAATTTATTACATTTGGTATTGTATTGGCTTGTCAATTGTCATTTACCATAGAAGAGAAGTAAACAACAATTAGTTTTTTAGTACTGAGAAAGTAAGTGCCGCTTAGATGGCAAGTTTCTAATTTTGTGGTGGAATTGCTTTTGCATAGTTCATTTAGTTACAATAGCATAGACTTGTAAAGTCCTCAAAGACTCAACTGATGACTCCCAAACCAAAATTTACGTCAAAGTTTTGTCTGATAAAGTAAGAGAATGAAACATTGAAACTTCCACTGAAAACATGAGTTATTTTTCCAACATATATAAGACATTATGTTGCCAACCTTAACAAATATTCTGTTACTAATCTTAATTGTCTTTTTGCTTCCACCTTAACACGGGGATGTGATTCTAGATAATTGCCTTGTTATAATTCTTGGCATTTGATAGCTATGGCAAGTAGGGGTGTAAATTGATATTTAAAAATCGACTAAATCGGTCGAACCGTATCGATTTTTAAGTTTCTTTTAATAAAATCGTAGGTTTTATATAAATCTATAAACGTATCGATAAATATGGTAAGTTTTTTATTTTATGAAAATAAATCGAAAAAATACCGAACCGTACCGAATAAATTTACATGAAAAAAATATATTTATATATTAAGTTTAAAAATAATAAAGCATTAATATTTTTCTTGGGCCTTGAAATTATGAAAAAGTTTACAAGCCAAGAAGTAATTAAACTCAAAATCCTTAAACTAAATTATTTTCAGCATATTCACTAGCAAGACACAAGGTATTTTAGCGATTATGAGTAGCAAACTACAATGTATTGAATATTTTTTCTTTTGCATGATTTAAATTTATATTTTCGAATATTTAATCTTCTATACACTTTATTCTTGAGTCCCAGTTTACTTAATATCTTTCCACTCGTGTGATTTATATTTTCTTTGTCTTCATGATTTAAATTTATATTTTCGAATATTTAATCTTCTATACACTTTATTCTTGAGTCCCAGTTTACTTAATATCTTTCCACTCGTGTGATTTATATTTTCTTTGTCTTTGCTTAATTTCTTTTACGCTGTTGTAGAATAGTTGATGGATCTATACTCTGGCCATCTTTCATGTTTTCTTAATTCATCACCCTTTAAATAGTAAAAATGTCTAGAGAGTTTTGCTAAGTCGTATAAAAATAAAAGTATGTGTGCTGTTGCATTTTGCTTCTACTAGTGACTTTTAAGTGACATTTAGAAAAAATCGAAAATTAATCGAACCGTACCGATACCGAAGAGAAACCGACATGATTGATACGATTTCTAAAAGTCTAATTTTGGTTATACATAATAGAATAACCGAAAAATTTGTATGGTACAAATTTTATAAAATAACCGACGGAACCGAACCATTGACACCCATAATTGCACTCACTGCTTGTTCCAATTTGGATAAAAAAGAGAAGTGTGTTTAATGAAACCTTTACCCTAGAAACAAGATAAGAACTCTAGTGATGAACTATTACTTAATCTTGAAGCTCTTAAATTTTTATACTAGTTCTTATTTAGATAACATTTTTTTCCCTTTTTACTTTCATTAAAGTAGGAATATGAGTAAAATGTAGGATGATTTGGATTCCTCACTCTTAATTAAAGGTCTTTTAAGTCAAGTTTAGAAAGGAAACTGTTTTATCTTTTTACTGGCTTATCTATTGCGAAGTTCAATTAATTGAATTGAATCAATATGAATGCCTAAAAACATGCTCTAACAAAAATTAAGTGAAATGACTGTTGCCAGTCCTCTCTCCAATAAGAAAATACAGGACAAAAAAGAAGAAAAAAAGGATGTGCAGACAGGGAAAATAACAGTGGAATAAGAGAGGAGCAAATAAAAGGGACCAGGGTCTTCGGACTGACGTTTGTTTGTATGTGGCCTTTGCGTGATAAGTAGGAAAAGCTGAAACTACTCTCAATTTGGTTTAGACTCCATCCACCAAAACTTGAATCATACTACTGCTGTTAATTTTTGGGCAAAGATTACTTTAAACAATAGTCACAAAAACGTATAAAATTTATATATTTTTTTATATATAATATATCGACTATACAGTATTATTTTCCCTTAATTTTTTCCTTTCTTTTTCCTCATTCTCCCTAAGGAAAAAAGGAAAGAAATTTGTCGCTATGAAATTTTATTACATTATTTAAAGAAATGGTTTCACAGAAAATTATTTGCTTTATTGTTTTTGTTTTTCACTCCGCCCTGAGGTCTAATTAATGCGAATTCATATTGTTGCTTAAACTCGAGACCTCTGATTAAAGATGAAAGAGTATTAATTATTATTGGAATTTACTTTCCACTTTTGCTGTTGATAGTTGTTTAACTACTAAAGCTGCTAAAAATTGTTTACTTGATTAACCACTTCTTTTAAGAATGTTCTTCAGTTCAATTCCAAACTAAATTCATGAAGAAGTATTAGGAAATTCGCATGAAATATCATAGACGTATTAAACCCAAAATACTTGTTTACTGGATGATCCTTTGGCTGGGGAGGATTCACTGTTTCTATATTGGGTTCGTTTGAACCCAGTACTTGATCATAAATTTATGAGTAAAAGTCTACTAAAATTATAACAAATAGTAGATATGAACCTATAATTTTTTAAAAACATCACAAATTCATGTAAAAAATCTTAAAGGTTGAACCAATAGAGTTTAAATTCTGGATCCGCTTCTGCTCTTTGGGTTCATGACAAAACTTGTTGGTATTGTTTGCTATGACGTAAAAAATGGATCTCAAAATTATGCATGCAAAAGGCCAATTTCACCAAGTAGAAATATGTACTTATAATTTATATGTATTAATTTAGATGCGTCAATGCCAGTTGATCACTTGTATGAAAATGAAATCTAGCAGTCTATAGCCGTTATCCATCGCTTTCACATATCCAAATGTGAGTCAAAAGGCAATAAATGATAGGATTTGGAGAAAGAATAATACAACAGACAGATTTCTTTTGCTTTCATGGTACCAGTGGATCTGTGTCTGTGGTGGTGTTTTTGTTAGTCTTTACAATAAAGAATTGTCATTTCTCAGCTGCGTTGCTCGGGCTTTCCAAAAATGTCGATGGGTGCGATAGCTGTTTGGAGATTCCGCACAACATAGCTTCTCAGATCTAACTTCTGGCTTATTCACATAATACTTGGATAACCAATTCTATCATTGTATTGAGACCTCCCTTTTTGCAATAATAATAATTGCTTTAACCTTCAATTAGTGGATAATACAGCAAGTAGCCAGCAACAAGAATATATAATTATACATATACAATGCCACTAACACTGAAGTTCCAATAATTGCAAGACCAGCGTCCGTCCCTATGGTAACAGCTGCAAAAGCAGAAATGTACAAACAAAAGAAACTAATCAGAGTCCAGAGAGGAAGTAGCCATTGTCCAAAAGTGAGAAGATTGACTCATTTCTGTGATTTGAAGTTCATACAAAATCACCCCCACAAAGTAAACTGATATAGAAGAGAGGACATTATGTCTAGATACTTTACCAGAAGCTGCTGAAATACAAGAATTTACTGTCTCTTTCCTTGTGCCATCTCCAACTGGG